AAGAAAGAAAGAAAGAAAGAAAGAAAGAAAGAAAGAAAGAAAGAAAGGAAAGCAACAAATAAAGAAAGAATAGAGATAAACTATTACATAAAGAGACAATTTTGTCAAATCAATGCTTAATTTTGTCTGGAAACTCATTATGGTTTTGTTACACTGACACACCTCAGCAGAATCTGCAAACAGTAAATCAAAGCTCAATCATATGGCTGCGGGTGAGGAGAAAAAATAAATAAAATCTCTTTCAAGAAATCCGCACAATCACTGAATAAAGTTGAAAAAGGAAATAAGCATCAGTAATGCTGTGGTGCTGACAGAACACGGTTCTCAGCACTTAACACTTAAGCCAGAAAATTATTGTACATACGAGGTTCAGGGTAGGTTATATCTGAGAAATTATGTGAGTGAATATGGTAAGTCTTTACCGTCTGAATCCAAGCTGAGAGCACACTTGATCAGCATAGCTGTCATCCCAGCCTTTGTAACACACAGGAAGGAATCGGCCATCTTGAGCTGTCCTGACCTGCAGATCGTTGTCCCGACCAAACCTCACTGGGAAGATATATATAGAGAGAGGAAAGATTTGAACCCATTAGCTGACAGGAGATGATAATGTAAGAGAAAATGAAAAGATATATATATAAGATTCCCCTTGGAAGCACTAATCCTAACAACAACAACAAATCCTAACACTTTATGTAGCGCCGTGATTTATAGTGTTTGTTGAATATTCAAGTTACAGTTTTTTGTTATCATGTCAGCATAATTGACAGAAATAACACATGATCAGTTACAGCTGACACAAATGCACAGGACCAGGTGCTTTTTACATGAGTTAGCATTTATGCTTGACGGCTTGAATTTTTCACTTGTGCTTTAACCCTCTTAAAAGAACACCACAAGCTGTTTTCTAATCACTTGTTGAAGATTTCTGTCGCTGTTTAATAAATGTTTTTCATATTTCAAGAAATATTTTTAATATCTATGCACGTTACAAAATGCCCCCTATTGCTCCCTATTATGTGGAACCAGCAGGTCGTTGGTTCTACACAAATTTAATCCACAATTTGCAATCATAAAGACAGAAAACCTGCCATTGCAACAATATGTGATCAATTAAAACAATACCTCATCATCTAATTCATTGCTAAAAACTTCCCCAGAATAATTCCCACATTATATTATTTCCAAGAGCAAGCCTATATAGTCATGAAAACTAAACATCTAACAGCAGCTTTCTTCCATTTGGCTGTTCTGCATTTGCCAAGGAATCATAATGGTCTAGCCTCATATACCAACTACATTCTTATGAAGCCTATGCGTGCATGCATTTACTTACCACAATCTGTTTCATCGGTACCCAGTTGGCAGTTTCTTATCGCGTCACATTGGACAGTGTTGTTCGAACAGTTGTCATATTCTGGCAAAGGGGTATCTCCACCACCTTCAGTCTCATCAACCTTTTCCCCTGAGAAGTTTGTCGTTGCTGTTCTGGTGCCATAACGAACTGTAGATAGTAATGGAAGTAAGAAGGCATACAGAGTACCTTTCTTAATGTAGCTCGAAAAAAACAAATTTATAAAAATTAAGGGGAGTAACAGTCTCTTTATTTGTCAAGTTACATCCCAAAAACAAGCCCTGAAAATGTTTAACTGTCCAAAGCTCAATCAATTTATAACTCATAATATCTGATACAAAACTTTTTGCACAATTTAAGGGAAACAAAAAACAAAGAATGTATAATAAACTTTTAACTTAAAAAATCTTTAGACTTTAGCATCTGGACTTTTCACCTGCTGACTTATACAGGCATATGAAGCTTTATGTACCCTATTGAAATGAAAGTTAGCATGGTATTTCAACCATGAAGGGAAATACAACAAACCATATGCAAGTCTTGGCAACTTAAATACAATTTTATAAAGTCTAGAAACGTACTGGTAAAATCAGTGCAACCAGAATTTACAGAGATATTCTCCTCACGTTACTGTGGCAGTCTAAAGAACAGATTAGACTGGGAAATCCACTTCAGTAGTTAGAAAAAAATTTACCTCCTAACCAAATGGCCACTCCCAGGACTGCAAGCAACAGCACAGCCGCCCCTGAACCCCTGTAACACTGCGCATTACTTTCGCAGCAATTTTTTTTCTTTCTGGGAGCTAGACAGAGAAAGAATAGAAACGCGCATAAGGAAAACCTACAAAGCTTGCGCACTGATATTCATTTTGTTACGGGACGTACGGCTATCACTTACGTGGGATGGCCTGTGTGATTGGAGGGTTTGCCACATACGGTGCATACTGAGGGATGTAATGAGGTCTGGTTGGGACAGCCAGGCCAGAGCCATGTATTACCTGACCTCCATAAGGCCCATGGGGAAGTTGAGTGTGCACAGCAACAGATGAATAAGGAGGAGGAGGGGAGTCCTGAGATGGAGAGACAGGGAGCAAGTTAATCATTTTTGATAAAATGAAATCCATCGTCATCCATCATTGTGTCATTTATTCTTTGAAACAAGCTAACTTGCTGTATACAGGTACAATAACATGGTTAGATAGACAAAAGGCAGAGAGGTAAATCACTTGCATGTTTGCTGTTGCCAAGATAGTTATGTGAAACTCATTGCACTTTTGTTTTACTCTTCTACATTCCATGTAGAAGAGACCATTCAATCTAGGTTTAAGTCAAACTGGAGGAACCAGCTTGGTACGCGAAGACAATTAAAATTATGTATCCCGGAAAATGTCTTCAAAGCTCAATTAAAAAGTCAATTTCCTTATGTTTCAGCCCTGTACTTCTCAGTTATTTCTTACACAAAGTTTAGAGTAGCTTTATTGGGTATCTAAGGCAAATAAGTTCAACAGTACTTGGAGTTTTTGGTAAAGTAGGTCAACACTTGCCTCAATATCAATAGTGATAAGGAGAATTAAATCAACTAATGGTGAGGTTTTCATGATAGTGATGCAATTGCTCTACCATGCAGTCATTGGGAAAGGTTGTCAAACACACAATATGTTACTGAGATTTTATTCATTTAAAAAACACAAGTTTTATACACTGTATGTTTGTTTCTGCCACAATAATTTTTTATACCATTTTTATTATATCATTTTCTGAAAAATGGCTTTAGGCTTAGTGGTTGTCATGTATTGTTGTTAAGTGCTGAATTTTGTAGATCTAATGGATACATTTTGTTACATTTATCTTTTAATAGGCCATTTTCATCCTCTGTAATGAGTTTTTTTGTTTCACTTTCACTGGCAATGTTTCTTTTATTCTTTGTTTTGTGGAATGTGAAGAACTTGAGAGCGGAAAACTTATCAACAAAGTTATCTGGATAAACTTGTTTGCTTAATGTGGCCGAGCACCTGCTTGCAAAGTCACCTGAGAGTTTGTGAAGTGCTTCTATCTTTGTGGCATGTAATATTTCTCTTATGAAACAGGGTGACCAAAACATTGGGTTATGGGGCTTTTGTAGAACGATTCAATATTTGTTTTGCACTTCACATGTTTAGTTCTATTTCATCAAGAATTAAACTCAAATTTTCACCATTCTGATCACACATATAAACTTAAGATAAGGAAAGAGAGTGCCACTCAATAAACTGTAAGAGAAGAGATCTTATAAAGCTGTTTCAATGGTCAGTTTATATTTCTTTATAGCAAAGTTTCAGTCTATGCCCATAGGGAAACAAATCGTTTCATGAAGCGAGATGGCTGACGGGAAGTGGTTGGGTGAGTAGCTTTATCATATTTCCTAACAGAATATGATCATGTTGCACTAGAAAAAACTTTTTTTTCACACTTATGTCTGTCGTTACACACCAACAGACAAACTAATCAGTCCAGTTTAAATTATTTCATCTCAAACATGCTATCAAAACTTGACACACGACATTCTTCCCTCTAATTAGGTCAGACAATTAAAATTCTTTTAATTTTAGCTTTAGATGAATGACAAAAAGAAACATGTCCACCAGTTTTATGTTGTAGTTTGTTTGTACAAAGGTTATCTGAATACATTAAGCTAAATTATTCCCATTTGAAGTACAATGGGTATATTATTTTCATCATCACAGGTAATTCAAAAGTTTATCATTTGTGAGCTGACTTTCTAATGTGTTCCTTAGGTGGAAAACTATGGAATAAATATACTTGAGACTAAATGTGATGGTCCACTGAGATAATGTAAGCCCATTCCTGGTTCCAGGTGCTTGAAAAAAACTATTTTTAAAACCTGATGTGAGCAAATATAAGTGAGTCCATTCCGGCTAAACAGGCTCATAGGAAAGTGAATACGCTGAAGCCCAAACAGAAGGAACACTGACTCTGATTACGGACATTATTACAAATGACAACTGTTTGACGGAAGAAACTTTAGCAAGAAGTGAAGAAGTGTGAAAGACAGAAAGAAGAGCAAAAGGCAAAGTATGAAATAGAGCTTTTAGTTTAAGAAAAAGAATGAACCTACCCTTTCGTGCTTTGCCATCGGAAGCAGTTGAGAGCACAGGTGAGAGCTGGTGGGTGGAGTCTTTTTACATCCAGATGTATTCACAAAGTCACAAAGCAATGGTCAGAGCAGTGTTGTACAACATTAAACACCTCGACTCATTTATCTCTTTCCTGTAGACTCTCTCTTCTTTTTGACAGTGGGCAATGTCAATAACCTTAACCCAAACAATACTTGGAAGGTTTACCTTTCCATGCCTTCTTTAAGACCTCCCATCTTAAGCCTTCATTGTTGTCTTAATCACTCTGTCCAAAGAGGCGGGTGCGCATGGTGTTCTACCTGTCAGACTGGTTTTCATGCGGACACATACTATTGTTGCTAGTTTGTCAGTATGAAGCACCAGTATTGTTCAAACGATACCAGCTGATAAGGATCCTGATTGGATGAGGTTCCTCTTAACAGAAAGTGTCAAAGGGGACTGCGTATATTTGACATGAAAAATAAATGACACCTTTGCTTAATTGTGAGAGAAACAATACAATATTTCCCAAGACAGTATATAGTTTATTTGGAATCAATTGCTAGTGGATGTGCAAATGGGGTCTGTTTAATTTGTTTGGGAATATTCTTCCAGACCCCTGAATACCCAGCCTCAAGAGGCATTGTCAACTATTCATCTTAAATTTAGCCAAAAAATAGAATGAAATTAGAAATGAAAGTGTTGGAGTGAAAAGTTGATGTACTGGAAACTAAAGTAGACTGTGACATTTCTACAACGGGGGATAACTAATGTTGTTTAAATGGTCCCAATCTGAAAGACTGAAATAATTTCTTATGTTCCGTTCTGTTCATTTTTATCCTGTATGGGATTCAAAAATGTACTTTGGAGCACTGAGAACAGCAGGGGGCGATGTGTCATGCATTCTCTACCTCTCTGAAAGGCGTCACTGAGCTTTCGTCACACATTAAAATGACATGTGAAAGTCCCAGTCCCGTCACATGATCTATGACATTTCAAATGGATGTTCCAAAGCTCAGGTTTACTCATCATCTCTGAGTCCACAGACAGAAAACAGGGGTGAAACTAACTAACATGAAGTGGTTTGTTTTGCAAAGGGACTGTTTCCTCTTACCAGGAACCAGAAATGAAGACAAAAAAACAAGTCACATTTGAAGAGGAGGTGAGAAGGCATGGGGTTATAATAAGCCATGATTAAGAGAAAGCCTTGATTATTTCTCAGAACAGCTTTTTCAGAACTCAGTCATAGAAATGGGAAAGTCACCTAACTTCTCTGAAAAGAATTTGCAACAACAACATGAGGTACTATAATTACAGAAACAATCTTTCTAATTATCTTCTTTATAAATATAAATAGTTTGTCATCTATTTTGCATACAGGCTGTCACAGCGTTGGGCTAACATATAAACTGTGTTCGATAAACTTTGAGCAATAGATGGAACTGGTATAAAGTGAACTGAAGAGACATGTTAGATTTTAGGACATATGTTAGATATATTCTGAGAGCAATACATTAGTGGTACTTGACACTTTGGGGCCTCACATGACAAGACCTGTGCCACAGCAAGGATAGCTAAGAAAAGTACCTTGACTGAAAGAGGATCAATAATGACCCAACACCATTCATCTGTTGGAAAAAATCTAAAGAAAAGTTTTCACTTAAAAATGGACCAGTTAATAGCTGTAAAGATACAAGCATCAGTCATTGTGTGATTTAGATAAAAACATATTATACATTGACTAAGATTACTCACTCAGCCATCTCTTTTTGAAAAAAGGTCACCACTCCTTCAAATCAACACATTTTAAAGGGCAACATGAGAATCTAAACTATATACCACTATCCTTGCATTCACTCAGTAACACAGAGAGAATACAATGTTCAAATTAAATGCCAGTTAATAACATAAATCAGGAGGGTTCCCGGTCTGAGTCGCTGGGGACTGGAACATTTCTGTGTGGACTTTGCATTTTCTTTCTGTGCCTGCCTGCGTTTTCCCAGGAAGTCTGGCTTCCTCCTACTGTCCAAAGGTTGAGTAGACAGTGTGTGGTTGTCTCTGTCGCCCTGTGATGGACTGGCTCCAGCCCCCTCTCCCTGTCACCCCATTAAAAGTAATTGGTATAGAAAATGAATGGATGGATGGATGGATGGATGGATGGAAAGAAAGAATGCAAATTATCATAAAGGAAGGTGAATATGTATTAAAATGTACTGTTTGTTTGTTTTTTTCATTCTGTTGCTTGAATGTACAAAAAAAATATTAGAGGAAAATTTCTGAGATCATCTTCCTCCTTTTTTGGCAAAGGCATTCCACAGGATAAAAGGTCTCAAAATAAGTTCTTTACGGAGAGTCAATTGAACATATATCACAAACAAAGAGGGTCTGAAAAAGGTTGGTTTTTCAAATGAGAGACAGAGAGCGATATGAAACTATCCAACACGTCACTGGTGCTGTCACAACAGGAAACTCATTGTTTCGGTGGGAGGGGAAATAACTATTGCAGAAGCTGAGAGAGGTTGCCTCTTTTAGTGAAGTCACACCATCGCTGCACCAAGAGAACAGCTGTATCACTCCTGTTGAAATTCAGTTTTTGAAGTACAGCATGGTTGGATGATTTCAAGACCGACAGTTGGAATGGGGGGCTTTGTTAATGACCACTAAAAGGATTTGGACTGAATGAGGACAACTGTTCAAATGAATATGAAATCCAAAATGCTATTTCTCATCATCCTGAGTGTCTTCTCAAGCCATGTGTCAGGTAATTCATATATTTTATACACGTCGTATGAAATCTGATTGGTTAGACTAGCAGTTGTTCTTTAATTGTTTTGTATTTGATTTTTAGTCAACAAAAAGACTAACTCATTCAACAGTGTGTGACTTTTAGCTTGAAAAGAGTAAAATGCATAATATTATCAGAAACGTGTTATAATTACACAAATATGTTGGTAACATGATTTTCAAACTAGTCAAGATTTCTGACTCTTCTCAGTCTCTGGTAAATAATTTCTCGGACTCAGAACAATGTCGATTTTTGTTTCCTTTGAAAAACCCCCCACAGTATCACTCACTGTATAACGCACTAGTCATTTGCAAGATCATGTCTTGTTCCAATGACCAAACTTCCCTTTTCTTCTTTTAAAGAGTTTGTTCCAAGAATATCCGAAAATATCTTTCTCAGAGTATGATTAGCATTATTTTGTATAACACTTTGATTTTAAATGGTTGAAAGGATTCCTATTTAATTACTTTTTCTAAAGGAATGCTTCAAATTTTGAGAGAGTAGCTATTTAAATTTGCTTTCATTTGTGATAGGAATGCACGTCCCCCCGCCTGACAAACTGGAGGTGGACATTTCCGATGGAGAGGTATTGGTATTCTGGGAAGATCCCGTTGGAACCCCCTCAAAGTACTGGTACAACGTACAAATGTCAAAGTATGTTATATCTCCAAGCACATCCAAAAACTCTTATACGCCATTAATTTCAGTGTTCTGTTTTACAACTTTCTGTTTTCTAATTAAAACAGCTATTTTCTATTCTAAGAGAATTTCGCAAATAATTGACTTTGTTTTATAAAATGGCATTATCCCTTCTGTTTGATGACGGCTTTCTTTTCTGTCCTCAGATACATTAATGAGTGGGCAGAAGTATCCAACTGTACAAGGATCACAAGGACTTTCTGTGATCTCAGCAATCTTATTCATGACTATGACACAGTCTACAAAGTCAGAGTCCAGCTGGTCACCAGGGATGGTGAATCCACGTGGGCACGCAAAAAAATTAGACCAAATGAAGGTGAGTTCTTTCAATTTATTTTGTCACAAGAATGTGGTTACCCATGAAATATTGTTAATAGTTTAAAAAAAGATTGAATATTTTCCCTCCTCTCTGTTTATAGGTAATTTGTTGCCTCCGTCCTTTACTTTGTTGGCAACCTCAAGAACCCTCACCGTTTATATCCATGAAAAACCGATTCTGAAAAAACTCTTTCCATATGGGGTGACTTATACCATCTATTTGGAGGAAATAGGGCAAGAAAATAAGGTTGGTACAGGAATGGGTTTTATGGCCCAGTGTCTGAGATGTTAGTTAACCCCTTTTTTCTGTCACAAATAAAAATTCAGAACACAAGCTTCTTACTTTTGCATTAAGGTTAACGATGGGTATATCAGAAGAAACTGATCAGAGATACATCTAGATACAATAATATTTTCATTTTTCAGACTACGACTGCCTACATGAAAGATGACGGTGGGGTGGATCAGAGGACCAAGATTTATTCTGCTCTCCAGTGGGGTCAAACGTACTGTGTCAGGGTCAAGGTAGAAAGCCCTGCAGGTCTATCAAGCAGCAGTGTGTCTGACCAACAGTGTCTCAATCTCCCAGAGGAAGGTAAGAACGAGGAACAGACATCATGACTTAAATCTAACTGACAAAATCTAAATCTGTACAATACAAGTGACATTGCTGTAAACACATGCAAACATATGGGGTATAGTTCTTTCAAGTAGCTGCTGCTGCCAGCCTCAAAAACTTTCTCCATTATCTAAGCTCAGCTGTTTTGGCATTGGATGATCCTAATATGCATTTATTTTCTCTGTTTTTCCCCTTCTCAGAATGGTTCATGATTGCTGCATCATCTCTGTCTATTCTGGGCATCATCACAATGATTGCTGTTCTAGGAAGTTTCCTCTTCTGTTTTCTGAAACGTCCAGTGAAAACACCTGCCTCATTGGTAATTGTATTCAAATTGTATAGATAACTGAGAAGTATTGTAATTATAAAATACAATCATATGAAATTCACTTAGAGGACATCTAAGCTCATCATCACTGTCATATTGTTGATATTAAGCTTTAATAGATGGCTCATTGATCAGAACTAATACTTTTCCTTTGCCTTCTCTTTTTTCACATCAGAAATCCCCTGTTAGTGGCTGGCTACCACTCTCTGTTGCAGATGGACCTCTGGAGGTGGTTACAGACAAAGGATGGTTTCTTTCCAGTTATAACAAAGAAGTAAAAAACGGTGTCAAACTTCCTATGACACATGTTACAGTAATAGAAAACAATGAAGAAGAAGACAGAAGAACCAGCATGGACAGTGGAGTTAGCATGGAGTCAAACCCTGCAATAAACAATGTAGGAAGTCATATTACGAGACAAGAGGACAGTGGCTGTGGGAGCATGGGAGGACCAGAGAGCTCTGCCAGTAGTCAGGCAGATTACCCAATGAAGGAGGAGGGTACTGAAAATGGCACCGTGAGGAAAAGGGGAGACAGTGGGCTGAGTCTGAGCTGCCAGCTCGAGTCTTCTTCCCTGAGCCTCGATGGACAGGATGGTGTGTCTGTATCAAATTCTGTTTCTGGGGGTAATTACCGCAGTCAGAGCCCCTCAGAGGTACAGATCCATGTCTGTGATAATGAGGACACCTTTAAACAGATACCAACAGACTCAGTTTTGGCTGAAGTACTAACAGGATACAGAACTGGGCCTCAGTCATGTATCTGTTCAGGAGCAGGTCAGTGCGGCTGGTGCCATAAATACGGCCAACACGGAGGGGAAGTTTCTAAACAATATGGAGATGTGTGTATCAAAGAGGAACTCCTGGGGAGCAAAAATCATTTGCTGGACTCTTACAAAAGAAATGTTACATTTTCGGGTTATCCTACTAAAACCCAAATGCATGCTGCCATGATGAGTGACTTACAGACATTTTTACAATTGAATGAGACTTTTCCTCTGCTGACATCCCTGCCGCTCGATAAGTGTGGACAAGATTTTAATATGAACAATGTGTCACTCTCACTTTGTGATGTACAGCTGACAAGTGACTGAAAAGCTGTGGAATGTATCGACACCATTTATAAATCCACCTCCAAACAAGAGGGAAAAGCTACACCCTGACATAACCTAACAAGTAACAGACTGTTGCTGAACACAGGAAGAAAGCCGGAGTTAAACTGTGCAGCTGCTCTCTGAGCTTGTTGAGGTTGAGAAAAAAAAACAGATGCTGGAGGTCTCATTCAAATCTGACTCACTTGATATATTAACACCTGACTGCTGTACCGGAAATGAAAGTCAAATGTGAAGTACCAAGAAATGACAGTTTGACAGTTGCACACTTTGGGACATTTTATTCTTCCTATTACCCACACCAACAATATTCCCTCATGTAAGTTACCTCCTGTTATGTTCATTGGTCATTCTCATTTTCAAATCATATAGTTGTGGGGCATGATCATTTCATCATTTCACAGGCAGCTGCAAAAATTGTCTTTGATTCTGTGTGAAAGCAGTGTTGAGCTGTGCTGTTAACTTATTTCTTTGATTATTATAAATGAGCTTGTCTTTTTTTCTTCTCTGAAATGTGATTCCAAAATTCTTTTTTTTTATTGCTTAATGCAGTGAATAATGTGGGGAAGCTCTTTTCAGTCTGATTAAAAGCGTCTTTATGGAAGGTTCTGTAAAATTCCATTAACTCTGGGATACTAAAAACAAGAATATGTGAGCAAGTAAGGGACATGTTAATGTTTTTGAGAAACAGTGACTTGGGCAAACACCAGGAAAACCCTCAAGAAGCTAATTTAGGCCAGATGGAAGATCATATAACTATGCTTGGGATCCCCTAATGCAGATTAAGTACAGGAACCAGGGTTGTGGTTGTGATGCTTCTAAAGTAAGAAACAAACAGTTCCTCTTTCACACATCTACCCAATGGAAAAAAAAAGGTTTCCAATTAACTGACATAAAAAAGAAAGACAGAAATGTCAGCAGGGCTAAGTTTTCAGAGACCAGCAGAACTTAAATAAAAATTAAGTGTTCTATTTCTGTATGTATGCAAGAAAGTTTTAAAATAAAAAAATGTTTTCTTGTAGTGCATGGTTGCAACTTGGCAAAATAATTTCACTACACTATTCTAAAAGTCAGGCAATTCCATTTTGAGAACATGATTTCATGGGAATGTGTATAATTAGCACTTTTCTTTGTCATTGATTTGCATTTTAAACCTTTGACAGGTACTCTGACTTCCTGAGACCCAATCTTTGATATGAGGTTCATTTTTTATTTCTCAAAGACATATGGGATTAGAATGACCTGTTAAGTTTAATAACTAAACTTTGTCATGGCACAGGCAGTTATTCCTCTTATAGGGAGAGTGGGTTGATCTAAAATGTGCATTTATGTAGTTAAATGTTTTCTTTGCAGTATGGTTGTGAATTTTAACTACAGAATAAGTACATGAATGGTTGAAAATGTACAAAATGCTTCATTTTATATTTGAAACATTAGCGTCTGATAGCGTGTACTCGAAGATTAAAAAAAAGCTGGTATCATGATACAGATAGGCATAAATGCTATGTCCTCTACTGCGGTCTCATTAGGTTAATGTCAGAGTAAGAGTAATGTTGAAATGACATGCAGGAAGTGATTGGGGTAAAGCTTCAGACCAGGGCACCCTTCTTTCACGCTCATTTGACATGATAGTTCAAGTGTAATTTTGTCCTGGGATGGCATTTTATAACTGTGTTATTAGTGATTCATCATTCATTTTACATTGCATGGTAATAAAAATGTATAACTAAATGCTAACCATTGTGTTTTACCAACTGTCCTCATTACTCATTTACAGATGCATCTCAAGATGATTATTAATGCAAACTTTATTTACCTGAATTAACACAATTTGTATGCAGGTGCATGCTATATTTGTGTTAGTGCAAATAAACTCATCCACAAAGCTATGAAAATTACTTGATATAAAAAACAGCACTACCAAGAACATGGCAGCAATGAGTCCCGGGATACTACTTTTACTACTCCTGCACCGTTAGTTAAGACACAGTTTATAGAGTACACACAGTGAGGTCTTCACAAGCATGAACTAATCTGCAATGTACGCTTGGGTAAAAATTTAATGTACTCTGGAGAATATGAAATCAAATCCTTCCCCTTCCTTTTTCAAAGTACTGTTCTGGTTGTCTGACAGACTTTTCATTATGGCATTTTTTCTTCAATACGGCAGATAATATCTTTTCTTCCCACAGCAGAAAATGTTAGACTCAGGCAATGACATGTTAGTTTCACTGGAGGAAAAACTATGAGACATTAAAGTTTCAGAAACCACAGAAAGTTTTAAAGAGGCTGTAGATACGTGGATTTGGAGGGAAGTCACCAGCACCTTACAAGAAAACCGATCACAAGACTTCGCTGTGGAGCTTTTTGCTCTCGCCTCAAAAAAGATCTCACAATCAGTGAAACTGCTCTCCTCTGTATTTGTGTGTGTGTGTGCGTTGTGTCTGTATATCCGCATTTGTGCACCCGTACTCAGCCAAATTTCATGAGAAATACCATAGCCTGTTGTTAGTTTCTTGTGACACAAAGCAAAAACAATGGTGACATTGTAATTTACATTTCCATATTTATTAGCTGTCCGATTTCCAGAAAAATTACAAATGTACATTGCACACATAAAAACCAGCTTTAGTGGTAAGTGGCAGGTGCATGGTTCAAAGGCAGGAAAATAAAATCTTTCATAAATAGGAGGAAAACTTCAGCACATACATTATTTACAGAAATTAATATCACCTTCAAGAACAGCAGCAAAATACAGACAAAACTGATACACATTGATAGTAGAGTTAGGGACATTGACAGGTTAAAGATTTGCCTTTATTTATTGGTTAATTTCAATTTCCCCAGATTGTTATTTTACTGAACCACTGACGGAGAAGGGAAGTTGGGACTTCTTTACGCCGACTTTGCTGTGAAATCGAACACACCAGAGTAACTCTTACAATTACAAACGTAAAAGCGAGGAATTATTACAAAGTTTCCTTTGAAAGTTTTATTCAAAAAACGTTTTGCTTACGTGAGCATTTTGTCCTTCAGTGATGGTTCTACAGAAAAAGATGATATCTGATTAAATTAAGTTTATTTGTGACAGCAAAAAACTTTTTCTTATCAATGTTGTTTTAAAAGGCCCTTGGCATTCTATCAAGGTTATGGTTTAGTCTGTGGTATTCATAGATGATTAAAGTGTGCGGTACAACAATAAAAACATTTATCGACATATATAAAAATGATTGCTACTTAGTGAGTTCTTTGCCACTCTCCACCAGAGAATAACTTACTTTTTTTCTTGCAGCAGTTTTTCAACTTTTTGCATTTGTGTTTACAGCAGAATTGCACAATACCAATGGTGAATAAGATGGCCAGGATCCCAAATCCCACAGCGATCCCAACTGCTGTTGAGTTTACGCTGCTACCTGTGAATCGAAACGAAATGTGGAAATTAGGTCATAGCTGTATATCAACACTTTTTCAAATATTCCACCAAACTTTCAGATACCTCAACTTTGAAGTCCAGTGAATTGGAGCTAGGGAGGGATTTCTATCACCTACCTTACAGATTGAGCCTAATTGTACCAATGAGAATCTAATCATCATGAATGAATATGCTGGACATATATATATATATGTATATATTGATTGTAATGTTAGCTTTGAAGGAGAAAGCGAGTTGAGACATCTTTTAAGACATACATGCAGTATTGAAACACATAGTTTGACATTCAAACATTTCTAGCTAATACAAATTTAAAGCACATTGAAACAAGAAAGGGGCTGATCTTTTCTTTTCTTTGAGAAAATCAGTAACCCACAATCAAGCACTTCTTGAAAGTTCCTTGTGTGTGTCTCTCTCTTATTTTTAGAAGAACTGAAAGTGTCATAGCTAGAAGTTTCTTACCACCATTCCCCATAGTTCACCAGCCAGTATGACCACTGTTATCTCCTGTCTCTCCTGTCCTTCCTCTCCTTGCAGTAGGTTTGGCGTTGACCCCACTTTCTTGGTATCAACTTTGTTAAAAGGGACTTATCCAGACTGAAGACTCAAAACATAGTGCTATCTCTTCTTCCTTATGTACTGACGTGGGTTTGTCATGTCCTCATACCAGTTTTTCCTCAAAACCGGTCCGTCGTCTTTTTCTCTATGTGTAGACCGCCTTTCATTCTCCCTTCATTAGCAAATCTTTATTTTCACTCCTGCCTCAAAGGCTCAAAGAGGAGCACACTCAGCTTGATTTCAAGTTATCACTTAGAATTGTCTCATTAAGGGTCAATGAACTTAACTATATCCTAACAGAATTTCAACTTGTGTTTCACATTTCTCAAGTTCTCACCAGGATTAAACTTACAGATAAGTAAGCAATGGTGATACCTGATTCAGCGGGTGCATTGGACCTCCCACATCTCTTTATCAAGGTTGAAAACAGTGCAAATGAGCGACATTTTCATGGAATAAGAATATCTTCACATATGTACTAAATATTTGTTGTTTCCTGTTTGTGGGATTTACAGCCTTCCTGAAAATGTTGTCATGCTTAATCACCATGTAGGGTAGAAATGAAGTACTGTAACAATTATATATGCTTAACATGTATAGTACATGAGCTCCACTGCAGTGTTCTGATACCAGATGTTTTCCAAAAGGGCATCAGTGGGTTTTCCCCTCATCAATTAAACTGTCATAAGTCATGGCATTACACTAACTGAAAGTTCACAACATGTATGATAGCCTCTGTCTCACTTAACCGCTTGCTCAAAAATGTAATCTTAAAATGCTGTATTTTTCCATTTGAGCATTGGTCCATTTGACACGTTTTTATCATTTTATTTCCACAAACATAAGAGAAATACATTTTAATAGCTCATCGATCACATTGTGATGTTGTACGACTTTAACAATCAAATTATGCATGAGAACATGCATAAGAGAATGAACATTAGATCGGAATATCTACAGATCTTACAATCTGACAAAACTGCGATAGAATCTGTTGATTGGTTGATGTTATCATCCAGAAAGTTCAATGAGATCTGAGTGGCGTAGTTTCCTGTTATTTACCAACTGTAAGTGAGTCATTCTGATAGCGTGAGTCTATCTGCAAAGAAGCCACAAAATGCCGAAAGGGTTTTCGCAGAAGGTTACATGTCTTTAATTTACAAATGTACAAATTTGTGATAAAGCATGTCTTTTTTTCCCGATCGATGACTGCACAGAAATTTGGACACATTTGGGTACTCATTCTGGAAGTTTCGGGTTTCAAAATAGTCTGACCAAACACATTTACTGAATTTTGCTGCATAAAAAGAGAACCTACAAGAATAACATGGGGAAACACGTCTGTAAAAACAGCAAGCAAAAAAAGAGCAATATATATATATATATATATATATATATATATATAGATAGATATATACATATACGTCAAACACCTCTGTTAATGCCATTAAAGTGACACATGTCCATGTTTACACATGTTTGATTTAAGGATCAAACAGTAGTAAAGTCCTTGTCTGCATGCTGTTATCCTATGTGTCCCTTAAAATAGTGTATCCTAATCATGGTCTTTAAGGCAAATGGTCCGTCATATGTTTTTTTGAGATCATGTTCGAAAAATTTACAGACATAAAACACACACGCATAGACAAGTAAAATCTACATGAATCCATTGTCCTTCTTCACAATTTCAAAGTTACTCACTTGTCATTCTGCCTTCTTCATATTATAAAACCATCAGCAGTTTTCTGATCCCTTCAAATCTTTCTTCTGTCTGTCGCTGTTTTACATTTAAGATCAACGTTCCAGTGATTCCTTTGACCTTTGACCTTTTTCATGAGAACTTTTCGTCGCTGTGTTGAATTGATCTTCACCCGTCATGTTTGCCCTTTCACATTTCAACATTCGTGTTCAGTTGGCATATACATATCATATTAGCCTTTTTGAATAACTCAGTAGAAATCTAATGCCTCTCCCTCTTTTTTTCATCTTTCAGCTTTTCCATCGTCATTCAGCAGATCACCATTCCCACTGCTGTTTCGTAGGAAAAGCTCTTTCTATTTTTTTCTATCTTTCATCTTTTACAGTTTTTCTGGATTGTTTACACACATTTCTGAAAACATGCCTCGTATTCTCAGAACTCTACACACAAATCCAACAAACACACACACAATGGGCAAAACCCTTCAATTCTCCTGCAAAATGAAACTTTACATTCAAAACAGTTTTATCTCTTCACAAAAGGCCATTTTGTGTTCAGATGACACACACAAACTATCATATGAACAGACAATTAAAAAAAGCATTTAAACACTGATGTGCTCAGTGTAAAACACCATTCTCCATTCATCATAATGACTTTTTGTTCAGTGTTACACTTACTACAGACATTAAATACCGAAGTGCGTTGTAAAATATTTTAGAATATTGTTTTTATACTCAGAACACACAAATATACTGTAACAAACATGTTTTATTTTCCCCCACAAAACAATGTACACAGTGTACATCCCAACCGAACTGGTGCTCCACTGCATCCACCTCCAGCTCAAGGACTCTCTGAAACACACATGACAATATCAGAAGTAGACATGGAGCGGTCACTATTGTGAAGCACAATCATTATGATTACAATATAATAGAAAGAAATATGTATGATTTATACAATGTTGACAGTATGCATCAAGGGTGGGAATGTATAGGACGTACTTGCACATAGTTATATCGCAATTCTTTGACTCTTTCTGAATTGCGCTCAAATGGCACCCTGTAGACCTGCTTCATCCTCAGTTTATTTCTGTGCAAGACACGGTCCAGCGTTGATAAACTTACCCTATCAATATTTTGAAATATCTCATTGTTTTCTATTGTTTTTCTTTGTATTTGCCGTGAGGTAATGGCGTTATTTTCAAGAACCATGTTCATGATCTCTGTTTCCTGTTCAGGAGACAGAAGACGGCCCCGTCCACCTCTTGTTGGTAATCTTTCAGTTCTGCAATACAAAGAGTGCAATACTGTAAATACTGTGTAGGAATACATTTCCCAAATACTCGAAACACAATGTCCTACAGAACAGTCCACAGGTAATACTGTACTACTGTACTCATTGAGTACTGTATTGATATGCAGTACTGCAGTTTTGTAGTGAGAGTAGATTTCTTACCTATTCTCATTGCGGAAAGTCCAGATGATGGATGCTACAGTGTACCTGCTCAAATTTGGCTGAACTCTTTGCCCAGCCTCCCTCATTGTTAGGCCATGGTTGACCACATGGTCAACCAAAGTGGCTCGGATCTCATCACAAATGATTGTCCTTGGCCTTCCTCGTCCTCGTCCTCCCCATCGTCCTCCTCTTACTCTCACTCCTCTGGCTCTGGCTCTGCCTCTGTTTACAACCTCCATTGCTCCAAAACAGAAGAGCTCACCTGTTGCCCTTTTATGCTAAAGCTCTGACTGCTGTGTGGAAACATGTGTGTTAGGTGTTTGCCCATGTGAGGAGTCAGTGTGCATAGTAGGGAAATTAACTTTAGAGTTATGAATAACAGTGTGTTCCTTGTGAAAACAAAAGATTTTCTTCATGACAATTGTGTGTAGAGTTTTGGAAAAAGTGTGTTTTAGAACTGCAATTTGAGTGTAAAGCAGGAATTGTGCTTGTAGTTTAGCAGAATTGGTTCAGGGGGTTGGTGTATGAGTTACATTTTGTGGTCATTGTGTTTCAAGTACCAATATTTGTGTGTAAACAATCAAGAAAAACTGTATTTATTTTTTATTCAAGATCACAAATTCATGGCACGGAACTGTGTGTCAAAGGTGAAACAAATACGGTTCATCTGGACGGTTTCAGGAAAGTACATCAACAGAGAGACTAAAGGTATCTAGTTTAACTGGCCAGTGGCTCCATGGATTGGTTTTGTGCAGACCTGCTGTATATTTCCCATAAAGAGGCATTTGAAACTCTTACATCACGCTATAAAAATCTTACTGATCTTCCTCACAGCGATTAGGGGAAAAAGTATCTTATCTGGCTGCAAAGCTTTTCTTTCTACAGTGATATCATTTTTCACACTTTTATGGCTCTTTTATGGAAATTACTATGGACATTTACGGCAAGCCTAGGTAACACAATACGTGTTCCCTTTCACATTTCTGGGCAGACAGCACAAGTACTTCCTGATTCTACAAACTTTTCAGTTTATCTGGCTGACCAATGATACAATAGCATCATAAAATAATTTTCCTTCCCAAAGGAAAACTGTGCAATTTACTCATAATTTGATCGCACTACCATTTGAAAGTATTCAGTGTACATGTACACACAGTGACTAAAATAAAGGATCAAAAGAGAGATACTAAAACTCACTTGAAATTACATCCATCAATGTTTTTTAAGCCTGATATGAAATATCACAAGATATACACCATTGTCCACAAGAAGAGCCTAGGAGGGGTGCCCTAGAAGACATTATGGGTAATGTGCATGTTTGACTGCACCTTAGTGTGTGTGTGTGTGTGTGTGTGTGTGTGTGTGTGTGTGTGTGTGTG